GAGATGAAATGCAGCCCCAGATGAGCAGAGCGTGTGGTTACATGAGTATGCTTCTGTTCCAATTGACAAGTATTCATGCTGCATGCTCCCGTTCTCCCAGAGTCCACACTTTCCTGTGTTCTTCTCAGGAACATACTTGGCGAGGACATAAGTCCGTAACCGCATTCTTGTGAATTCAGAAACTGCCTCTATTTCGATTTTGAAAACATAACGGCATTTCACAGAGACTTCCAGCTTAGAATGCACACATAACATGCAGACATCAATTAAAAGCACTTAAAAATAGAATAGAAGACACACTTAGAGAATGTAAAACTGCACTAAAAGAATTGGAAAAATGGCAAAACTCTTAAGAATAATGATAAACACATAAAAGATATAAAATATCCCTGAAAAATGTGTTTATAAAATTGTAGGTTGTAGTTTGGATATAAAGTGCAGCTAGTGCCAGAGCAGTTTGAGAAATGGTGCTGATGTTCTGTTGATTATAAGCAGGGGAGGTTTTATTGGAGAAGGTTTGCAGAGGTTTTAAACATCTCACATTGTGTTTCATTTCAACACTGAACCATCAGGGCTCAACTGGAAACCCACAAGTGCTACATTAACAGCTTTAATCAGAGAGCCAGTCACAGGGCTGCCAACATTTCACCAAACATTGGAGTGAGATTTTTAAATAGTTTGGACAGGCAACCCTTGTCACGGTCAGATTGAAAGGCTCTGAGGATAGGTGTAGCTATAGGTTGTAGGTTTTCAGTGTCGGGGTTTGTTGAGGTTTTGAGGACCCAAATGCAGAGGCAGGGAGGCAGATGTGAGTCCTTGTAGTTTAAATGTAGTATTCACAGGTAATAGTTGCAAGATCCAAAACTCCAACTTAAAAATGCATTCTTCTTTGCCGTGGTGGCTCTCTGCAGGAGCATGACATTTGGGAGATCTCCTGAAGGACCCAACTCCAAAGACTAAGCTAAGTTGACCTTGTGTCTAATCTCGGAACCTAATTCTGCAAATAAGAAAGCATTTAAAAGAAGGTCAGATATAACCAAAATTGAACTTTTTGGCCGACTGACAAATAACACAACATTACTTTGAACACAATATCTACAGTACATAGTGAAAGTGTCAGGACTCCTGTTATTGTGTTTCTGTGTTTGTCTCCCTTCGTCCACCAGGAGGCGCCTGGTTCTGGTCCGCCTCCTCACACACCTCCTCGTTAAACGGAATGTTCTTAAGCTGTTGACTGCCACTACCTCGACGCCAGAGTGTTTGCCAGTTTTGGGTACTCTAGCCAAGCTGAGTTTTGCTGAGTCGAACTGAGTTTTTGTCAACCTGAGTTTAACTTTGTTTTTGTCTTTGCCTCCCGGCAGGAAGTCATCCTGCAAACTGGTTTTCTCGGACCTTCTCTCCCTGGAAGGATCAACTGAGCTTCAAACTGAGCTGGGGTTCAAACAGGAGGTTTGGATCCACTTTCCCCAAGAGATCGTTTGAGCTTCGCACTGAGAAAGGGATTATTCTCCACTACGACCCGTTCAAGTACTGCAGGAAATCTGAGTGGCAGTCAGTTTCTCCGTTCACCAACTAACAACCGCGTTCTGGGTAAACCCTGTTCCGCCCTCCACCGAATCAGACAAACACTGGAACCACAGCACACAGACAGGAGTCAAGGATTCAACAATTTCTCTGGAAACGTGAGTCGGCAACCAAACCCTCTTCTTCAAGTTCACGAGTCAAATTCCCCACTGAGCCTGAACTAACCGCTGTGTCTTCCCCTCACTTTTGAGTTCCGGTTGAGCAGTGTTCAGAGCAACACTTCTCCCTCTGTTTAACCGCTGCAATAAAACCCATTAAAACTTTTCCCTGGTCTCTCTGTTCGGTTTTCTGCATTTGGGTCTGAATTTTGTAAAATCATGACAGAAAGTTGATGCAAAGCAAAGTCTTGGTAAAATCCTAGTTTGTTGTTTTAATTTGATGAGCCTTCTGCCCTGAAGAATATGAGGAGGTTATAGATTTGGAAATAACCTGAAAAAAGAAAAAGGGAATATAATTGGTTGCCATTTGTCCAACAGATATGGGTAGAAGTCCCCTGGGTTTCTTTATCAATAAATCAAAAAGATTTAGACCAAAGATTTTACCACCTCTCTACAAGTCTAATAGCTAGAGCTGCAATATAAGCAGTGGACCTGCAGACACTCTAAGGAGGGATCAGACAGTAAAAGGTGTTTATGAGCTGCTGCGATGGAGCATCTGGAAAATGATTATAGTATGAATCCCTTCATTAAATAACAGACATTTTTGGCTTGTTGACTGGGAAAAAAATAAGCAGTTAAGATCTCGCATTTGCAGCTTTCCTCTTGTCTCACTTGCTTTATTTTTCAAAAGGCAAATGAATCCGGCACTCAGCCATACCCCTGACATCCAGCTGGGATGGATTTCTGATCTTTAAGCTTAGATAATAATCCCCTTCTCTGATTTTCACAATGAGTCAACTTGCATCTAAATTGTGTTATTTTGCTCATTTTTATTTTGCAGTGCAGGATCTTAATCCTTGCTCAGTCTCGTTGTGTTATGCACCGTCAATGTTTTCATAGAGTCATAAAATTTTTATGGCATCCCTTGAAAACTGCCCCTTGTGAATTAAAGTGGAACAGAAAGGTGCTCCCGGTCAGGGTTGGACTTTCTGTTGCAAATAAAACATTTTATAGTGGAAGGTAGTCTTTATGGTTCTTCATAAAATCATAGATATTAACAGCTGCTCTGTGGAAATTCATAACAAACTCCAGCCATGTGTTTTTGAAGCATAAAAAACTCAGATGCTCAAAAGAGGTTAAAGGTTAATAACTTAAGGTGAGTTTAAATAATTTAGTCGAGAGTTTTTAACTCAAATATGTTGATTTGGAGTTGAATGATTTGTCAATAAACCCGTATTTTGAATGGAAATTGCTGAGAATTTATTTCAAATGTGTGCAGAGTCAACTGTCTGAACAAGATTGTAGCTTGAATAACATTTTTACTGTTGCCTTATGGGTTGAGTTTACACAGAGCATATGACAGCCCAAAGTTATTTGATTAAATAACAAAGTTACCACCTCATTTCATTTGCAGTTTCGAGAGTGGGCATTGAATGTAACGTTAAAGCATCAGATACGGTTAATATTACATTTGACCAATTTTCAAAGCAAATAAAGTAGCCACTGTAGTTCTTTTGGAATGGTGAATAAAATAAAAAATTAAAGTATATAAAAGAGGATTAAAGATGTATTTTAAAAAGATTTTTTCCCTTAATCACAGACTACGATTCCTTTCTTATTTTCCCATGGGTGTGCACAACACTGTTGTAATTTTCATTTGTCACCAGAGGGGGCAAACTTGTGCAAAAACAGCACTTTGCGCTACGCTCCTTTAAAGGAATAGTCTGCACAGCAAGGAATAATCAACACATCATTATCTATACCTACAACGAATATGTTCAGGCAGTGACGTCACGGTGCGGTAAGCTCTAAGCATTCTCCCCACTTTACAAGCAAAATCAATGGGAACTACTAGACACATCTGCAATCAACAACAATTATTGAAGATTTCCAGAGGACTTCACCATTGAAATTCACCAGAGCTATAGTGAAACTGACAATGCCCATGTGCATGGCAGCTGGATGCTGGAATACATCGGGTAAAAGTGAAAAAAAGAGTTATTTCACCTTTCTGATCCCTGATCCTCCACGGACGGGTTGGTCGTTGGATCGCCAACTTGAAGAGGGAGGATTTGCCATCGAACTTCTGGCCAGAGAAAAAACACGTAATATGTAGCAAACATTTGGAAGAAGAATGTTTTCAAGATGACTTGGATAATAGCGCGTTGTGACAAACACCAGATACAGCACTGGGACTTGATCAACAGCCGATAACGCACCGTGACGTCACAAACCAGTAGGTGGCAGTAGTGTTCTTTGACAAACATGGATGCCTCCAGTAAAGCATATTCAAATGAAAATTACTCTTAATAAAAAAAAACATATCATTTGTTGAACAGTATGTAATAATTTCATATTTAAAGTACTTTCAGAAGTTTGAATTCTGGATATGACCAGACTTTTCCTTTAGAGGGCTGAAAAATTCACTAATATGCATGTCAAATAACACTGGTAAATAATGTTTAAATGAGTATCACACTGATGAAATTAGCAGCTGTTGAGAAATATAGTTAAAATGTCCCTACAAAGTCACTTTAACAACATTTTGCTTTTATTTTGTGCTCTTTTATGACGTGTCAAGGGAAGTTGGCAGATAAACTGATCGCTTCTACAGTTGGTGACAACACAGGCAGCAGTGAAGAATCGAATGTTTCCACCGATATATTTCAGTCACTATCAGAGAGAGACGACCAGAGCTGGAAGAAGAACATCAGCTGTCATCAGATAGCCTAGCAGAAGTTTAGGTTGTAGCTCTGTGTGTGTTGGAGCAGAGCCCACAGCACCACATAGCAGTAAAATAACATACAGGTGAAACAGAGTAGCAAGGGGGAGTATACAAAGGGTGATTTAAGGAGTAAAATTACCACCTGATTTGTAGTTCAACCCAACCTCAGAATCTGTAGTGATGCAATTATTTTAACATGCCACATAAAGTACATTATGTGTCAGCCTTAGAGTGTGTTTTTATTCAACAATAAAACACATAAAAATCAGGGCTGAAGTGTGAAGTGTGTCATTTTTTTTGTGCTTTTATCTTCATCCTGAAGCAAATATCTAAATGCTGTGTTTTACTATATATTAACATGCATCAGCTACACAGTTTATGACATCCGCATAATACAGACTATGGGCGCAGCTCGTTTTTCATGGATGTTTTGTTTTTGTTTTCTAGGAATAAAATGAACCTGATTGGCCATTTGGACCGATTTTATTCTGACCATACTTATTTCTGTTTTTTTATTATCAACAATAAGTACCGATTGTCATGATGGGTCTAAAGTGTTTCGCCCACATGCAGAAGCACTCACAGAGATTGAGAAAGGTTTAACAGTTCATTAGAAAAAAACAGTTTAACAAAGACACTGAAACTGTTTTCCAGCTTGGGGAGGTTCAAGAGATCAGGTGAACCGGAAGCTCTAGGAAGGGACCAAAGTGATGAGTTCAAGGTCGGAGAGAAAACTGGCCAATGTCAGAATAAAGGCTTGACTAGGACTCACTGTTGTGGTTTGGGGTGGACCCAGAGTTGCTGTTTATGAAGGCTTGAACTGTCGGTGATGTTTGTTGAAGGGCGGACAGGCAGACTATGGTGGTCCTGAGGAGCAGCGGGGCAGACTGTCACAAGTTCTCCTGCAGTTGGAGGCTTTCAGATATGGCGAACAGAGTTTTTCTCAGAGTAACGAGAGGTTCCTTCCAGGGCTTGAAGGACTGGACTTTCCCAGCGGATCTGTAGATATCCTGCCAAAGATTCACAAAAAGAAAAAACGATTAGGGCTTGAGGTCTCCGAAAAGAAACTCAAAGTTTGACTCAGCAAAACTCAGAGGGCTAGAGTACCCAATACTGGCAAACACTCTGGCAAGGAGATGGTGACAGTTTGCTGCTCATATACTCCTCAGATGGTGATGACCAACGAGATGCAGGTGTGAGTAGTTGAGAGCAGGAAGAGACCCTCCAGGCCAACAGAGGAACAATGGCACCATCTGGTGGATGCACGGAGAAACTTGAAAAGAACAAAAACAACCCCCACAAACTGGAACCCTAACACCAATATCAAAGGTTACTTTTGTGACAGTGACGTATTCTTACCTGCTGAGCCAAATCAGTCTGTCTACAACCTTTTCTTAGGAAAGTTTTTCACATTACATTTGCAAGACAATGGAAATACCATCTCTGTTGAAGGTCCTTCTTCACTTTTAAAATACGAGAACCCAAGCAAATGTCCCTCTGACATAACTTTTTTCTTTTTTGACAAAAAATCCTCAGTTTGCAATAAGTTGTGCTTTGTCTGTCCACTTTGAATTGTAAAATTTTAAAGAACTATGCCCAAATGTTGGTCACAATTATCTCTTTAACAACAATAGAATGTAAATTAAATCAAGTAAAATTCTTCAATGTGAATATGTTTCTCTTCCATTTTTTTATGTAAAAGTGTAAAGGTTTGGATTTGTAACATACAGCTAGTCGACCTAGATGTTGTGGATTTAGTGTGAATTGTTTGTTTTAGTCATTAGCGATTCAACTGTGAGAGGAGACTTGAATCTTGATTAGGATTTGGCCCTAAAAGACTTGAGACTTGACTTAAAAAAATACTTTTAAGCATATCTGCTGGAAAAATCATGAAAGAAAGGCAGAGCCTTAGAAACTTACTAGAGAAGCTGAATGTTTGAATGAACAGATATGATCTAATTAGCAGGATTGATGTCGGCTGTGGGGGAAGCAGGAACATGCTTAGGGAAAGGGAATAATAAACACAGAATGAATGTATGGGGATTAAGGGGGCAAAGTTGGCAGAAAAGAACTGAAATCAGAACACAATGAGGCATCAGAATGAATACTGGGAAACAGAATGGAAACGGATAAAGAACACGATAATTTGTACTTGGATACAAAGACTAAAACACAAATCAGATCAAAAAATGTCAGATAATATAAAACAAAAAATCTGTATGTTCTTTTTATACACCCTACACACACTTTTGCTATAACACTTAATAATATATATTTAGTGGTGTCAAAAGTACAGACATTTGTTACTTAAGTAGAACTATCCATACTGCAATTTAAAAACACTCTGGTAAAAGTTCAAGTATCAACTCGACCTCTTTACTCAAATAAAAGTGAAAAAGTATGTGCTCCAAAAACTATTTAAAGTATAAAGTAAACTTTAAAAAAAAAGATGCCACTATATGATTGGAAGCTCAATCTTTCGACTATTTCGAGAAATTCTTTGAGATAGGGCCAAGGATGAGGGAGGTCTTGTTGGTCTCTGTCTCCATCTCCTGATACGCTCTCGAACAACTTTTTCTGAATCCGACATTGTAGCATGGCATAGACAATTCACGTTTACAGTTAGAAGAACACCTGCTTGCTTCTGATGATTTCCTTTAGCTAACCAATGAGTGTTTGCGTTATATGACTGCATCCAATCACACTAGTTTTCACTAGATGTGGATGGCGCCAATGATCTGCATTGGAATGCGCACATGACGTGAAATAAATATTTATAAACATTAAACCGAAGCCAAGAGTAATGAGTAATGTTTGTTTTAAAAATGTAAGGAATTTAAGTACAGATACTTTTGTGAAAATGTAAAGAGTAGAAGTCAGAATTAGAAGAAAAAAGTAATGGAGTAAAGCATAGAAACCTTAAAAGTGTACTTAAGTACAGTAAAAGTATTTGTACTTTGTTACTTGACACCTCTGTATATATTTTAGTAAATTTTTGAGTAAACCTTACAACTTTTGCTGTTTTGAAACAGCCTAACAAGGCTATAAAACTGCAGTTGGGACAGGAATATCTGTCCATGTCAGAAAGAGGAAGGATAAGAAGGTAAGCAAAGAGGCTGCAGCATTGGGAACATTATCAGAAAGCAATTAATACTGCACTGCTATACTGAGAAGATTTAGTGTTTTATTTTGCTGCACCTTAGAACAAAATCATGGCAAGACTTATTTGCTTCGTGGGCCTGAATTTCCACTGAGGCCCTTTGTGAAACAATTTGCAGTGGTAACAAGGAAGACGACCGCGGATCGGTGGATCCCTTCACAAAATTCTGACTGGAGAGTTCAACAAATAACTCTAAATCAAGGAGCTATATTTATAGACAAAACTTTCCTTTTAGTTTTTCTTCTCCAAATATCTCCAATGCCTTGGGGGACGCAACCATACATGACCCTGTGGGAAAAAAAAAGGATAGTTAAGGAACGGTTGAGTGAAACGGATTGCTCAATAAAATGAAATAAAAAGTTTTTGAAGCATACTTTCAATAGATGCTCTGGAATATATCATCTTAGCTGGGGGAAAACTTTAACATTATTAAGCTGAAAAACAACAAATCATTTAGTAAGCTGCAGCCACTGACGCAGAGAGATCAGATAAATGGTTAAAGGATGTCCCATGACCTGATAAAATATTCAACTACTTGCCAGATGACGAAGCACTCTGCCAGCATCATTCTTCACTCATTCTCCTCCTCCTTCCAGAAAAAAATGGAATAAGTTAAACTCTGGTATTTACCAAGAGAATCGCAATGATAAACAGCTCTCTGCTGACTGTTTAATTACCTGATCAATGCTGTGACATACAGCCAGTCTGACAATGCTACGCAATTTCTACTGATTAAGCCACTTTCTGTCACCTCCCTGGAGGCAGTTAGAGGCTGTAAAATTCTTGATAAAAAGTCCAATCAAGGTGTTGTACATTTGCTCACATTTCACATTTGCTTGGGTTCTCCAATTCTGTAGTCTGCTTTACACAGCTAGGAAGTGCATTAATAACTGAACAACATTATTGTACTTACTGTGAAGACTCTTAATGAGACAGCACTCTGCCTCTGAGGCCAAAGCAGTCCTTTGTGATTATTCCCCTTAAAGTTCTTGCCGTCATTTGGCTCCATGTCATTAAAACCGCACGCTTTGTATTATTTTTGTCACTTTCCGTATCCTTTCCTCACACAGAGATTAGAAATTCACCTTAAAAGGAAAACTGCATTTCTAATACTGAAAAGCTGAGGAAACAAGGCGATGGGAAGCTTCAGCATGTTAGTCTTTTGTAATACAGACATTAAGAGTGGCAATATAGTGTCATCAGCTGGTAAGCAGGGTGACGTTCATATTTCATGGCATACGGTATCAGTCAAAGGGAGCAAGCATCTGCTCTGCCATTACAGACACCTTCTCTGCCTCGAGAGCTCTTCGGACTATTAGTCACTCTGTTCGCTCTATCACTGTGCCACAGCCAGACAAACAGTGCCTTGAGAAAATAAATGAATCAATAAAAAAGAAGAAGAAAAAAAGATCTTTCAAAGATTTCTCAGAACCACAGGGCAACAAATTTACTCTCGCTGCATCTGAGCACTGCTGAGGGTATGGTGTCCTCATTCATTTTGTCAAAAAAATAAATAGCTGATAGAAGTCCTTTTCAAGTCTGTGTGTGTGAAATCTCAGTAGAGGAACTTGGCCAGAAGGCCAAGTTCAAAACAAGTCAAGGATGCTTGTTAGTTTACTCAGATTGCTTTAGCTGATTTCTGAGCTTTAGAAAATTGAGACTACTTAGTATTTCCCTACCTTATCGTAGAACTCTTTAATATATTGCTTTTTCTCTCACCTAAAACCTAGACAAATTGGAACAGTAGGTGAAGCAGTTTAAATTAAATCTTAATGGATGTCGACAGTCATCAATAGTTTAGTTTTATTTCTAGGCTGATGGCACATTTTTACATCTGTTCTATTAGCCTCTTAGTTTTTAAGGGAAAACTAGGGGGCTAGAAGGAGTCCTAGTTAAATAATGTCTCTCCTCATTTCAGAAGCCTAAATGCATAAAGATTTATTACATTGCAATGGATCTCAGGCAACTGTTTGGCTTTGATTTCCAATTGAAATGTAGATTATTCTTTCATTGGAAGATGTGATTTTTGGACCACTGAGCAATAGGAGTTTTTCTCTCCTTTGCCCAGTTCAGAGGTTTCTGGTCCACGTCTAGGGTTCTTCTGTTGTTGGCTCTCGATGTGCTGCTTCAAGCCTCAGTGCACTCGTTATGAAGCAGCACCAGAACTGTGGTTCAGGAGTTGCTCAATACAAGGAATCTAACATCTTCAGCCTATGTGTAGAATTTCGACTGAGACCGTATATTCTGTTCATACAGTAGTAGCCATTCAAAACTTCCCCACTTCCCTTGATGGGCCCTTGGCTGGTCCCCCACATTTCTTTTCAAACAACAATCTTTGTACCAAAATCTTCTGTCATGATTTGTGGACATTAATATCTGAATAGAAGCACCATCTCCCAGTCAGACCCTGCAATTCAGTGAAAGGGTGGAGTTAGAGTTAAAAAAAATGCACGCCCAGGAGAAGGAGAGGAGTACAAGGGAAGTGGGATGCCATTTGGAATGCCATTTGTCTGGCGTTTGATTGGGAAGGGCCATTTTGAATGGTTGAATGTATGCCACTGTTACAGAAATGTGATGCTACATTAATCTAGCAATGATTCCATTGATAGGATGTCCCTTTATGTAAAATCCTTGTCTGCAACAACAGAGATTTGCTCATCCTGGCATAAACATGTGGACAAAGTTATCGATACCCTTTGTTTAATGATAGAAAAACGTACAGTGGTCAAATAAATAACTTGAGTCCGTCAACAGTAACAATAAATAAGAATTAACTGAAAATGGGCAAATGGAAGTCAGTGACTGCTTTTCAACTAAAGGAGTAGTTGTGAAAACTAAACTTGTGAAACAGGTCTAGACAAAATAGGTGGTACCCTTTAACTTAATATTTTGCTGCATAACCTCTTGAGTTGATCACTGCTATCGAATGATTCCTGTAACTGTCAATGAGACTTCTGCTCCTCTTCTGAGATATTTTGCCCCACTCCTTATAAGCAAACTGCTATAGTTGTTCTAAGGTTTCAAGGCTGCCTTTCCCAGACGGCATGTTTCAACTCCTACCAAAGAT